GAGTGTATTTGGAACTCCTCAAAGTTGTGAATAGCTCATCATTTAGTTGTCATATTCACTCTTGTTGTGGAGGCACCTTTAGTCAACTGCTTTGTTGTTTCTTCTCTTTTTTGTCCATATTATTTCAATATTTAATTATACCATGCTAACACAAAGCAACTATACATAAGACTGACCTAAAAAGTGCAACTCTTGCCCAAAGTAAGTACTAATCTTTTCAAATGTTTAGAGATTTATTTATTTTTTTATCCCATTCTATTAAAGCAGTCTGCTGGTTTTCAAAACCTTTTTTATTTTTGTTTTAATGGGCGACAGCCTTTAGATAAGAAGGTGTTTAGTCAAACATGGAAGTTGCTAAGTTTCTGTTCAACCTGCCTACAGATGAGAGCAGCCCTCCAAAGTCTCCATGGGGAATTAACATCATGAAGAAGGCAAAGAAAGCTGGGCCCAAAGCTTTCGGTGTGAGGCTGGAGGAATGTCAACCCGGTACAAATAACAAGGTTAGCCACACGGACCTCTGTCACCACCTGAATAATAGTAAAACTGTTTTCCTTTTCCTTATTTTCTGTGATCACACGTTTCCGTGTCTCCTTCTGCAGTTCGTTCCAATGATTGTGGAGATCTGCTGTGGCCTCGTGGAGGAGATGGGTCTGGAATACACCGGCATTTACCGAGTCCCGGGGAATAACGCCATGGTGTCGCTGCTCCAGGAGCAGCTCAACAAGGGCGTGGACATCAACCCTGCAGAGGAGGTGCAGGAATATAAATATACATTCAGTCGTGTAAAAAAAAAAAGAAAAGTGCAGCCTCTTTCATTTCTGAGATTTTACATATCAGCACATAAAAAAATCATCTGGTGCTTCGTGGGTCTTAAAATAGCCTGTAAACGCAACCTCAGATGAACCTCAGTGCTGTAATTTATTTAGCAAAAAATAAGCCAAAATCCAGAAGCAGTAAGTACACACTTATTGCTTCACAGGAATTAAGATGGCAAGTGGCAGCCAGGTCCTGCTAATTGAATGCACTTGATAAACTAATCATTAGCAAGTTTGAGCGCCTCATTTCCAAACAATTTGAAGTCTGTTATTGTCCAAGAGGTAGAAATGGAAAAGCTTCAAGAACAGCTGCCAGTCTTTCCAAAGATTGTTTGAAAAGATTCCAGGAAATTCCTCGACAACAATGTGAGAGGCTTCTAAAG